CAGCGAGGTCGCCCCCATCCACGTCCCCTGTCCCCTGAGGCGGCAGCCGGGGAGCGCAGAGCTCAGCCCGGGCCCCCGCTCAGCTCCGTGTCCCGCGCTTGGCGGGAAGGGCAGAGCGGCTCCGCCAGCCTTTCCCGGGGAACGCGGCTGCCCGCGGCACACGGAGGGGGTTTTACTCATAGCTCCGAAGTGCTTGCGGCATAAACCAAACCTGGCTTTCTGTCTCAAAACGGGGGCTTAGCTAGGGCGGACTCACGTAAACGCACAGCTTGCCCTGCTAGGTGATGTGGTGGGAACCGCTTTTTGGTGCTCCTTTGGTAACCAAGGAGTTGTCGAGATTAAAAATCTTCTGTATAGGGTTTGCTTCTGTTTCATTTGCTTAGCCAATTTTACCTTCTTGTTCTCGTGGACCACAACCAGTTTTCTGCTCAACTTAGGACAAGGGAAGATAGGTATGTTAATAAAATAAATAAATGAAAAACCCCACAGTTTTGTTGGCTTCTTTTTACATTTTTCTCCTTTTTAAATTAAAAAGCTAACTATTACCTTTTTACTCCTGAGGAATAGTTCGATGGTTTCAATAGGATGGTTCAAAGTACTGTATTTCAATAATTGAAAAATATTTAATTAATAATTACTTTTTAAATGACGAATTATGTATGAGGTCTTTCTGATGGCACATGATGAAACTCATAGGAGATTCTGAAGTCATCTGTTCCGTTTTTCTTTGTTTATCCTTTGCATTGTATTTTGTTTACATCTTACTTTCAGCCTGGATAAATAAGTTCAAAGAACAATATGAATTGATGATTTTGCCACTTCAGGTATTTCATTATAGGAAGTTAATTGTCTACAACTTTCCTCTTAAATTCCACTGCCCTCTACTGGCTGGATCGTCAGACCTGCTCAGCGCTGCTGTTTTCTGAGGGTAGAGGGGGATTCTCCTTTTTTTAAGGTCAGAAGCAATTGAAAAGCTTGCTCTTACAACCTAGTAAAGCTGTGTCTTTACACGGAAGAGAAGGTTGCTGGCAGGTCGATCTCCCTAAGGACTCCTGAACTTTAGATTTCAATCTTCTCCTTGATCCAAAATAGCCTAGCTGGACTGATTTTGAAGTCGCACTGCAATGCCTCTTTTCTAAGGTATGAAGAGAAAAAAGATATCTTGGATTCAGCATTTAAGCATTGAGAGTTTATATATATAGCTGGAATGTTGCTTTGACTTTCTTTATTTTTGTTGTTGTTGTTCCTGGATTTTGAAGAAAATGTGGCATTTATATTTGTTTACAAATACAATAAAGTATTTATAAACGTATTTGTATAAATATTTTATATTTAGAAGAAAATATTTGTGTATTTGTTGGTTATATCTTTCTCCCACCCCTCAGCTATTTCGATGTTTTTCTCCTTTCTCCATACAAGCAGATCTGTGTTCTGCATATGAACAAATACATGTGCTTGATTTTAGAGCTTGATTGGGCTTTTCATGTGAGTGCAATTAGATGGAAGGTTGAGGCTTGGAGAGAGAGAACCCAAGAGCTCAACATATCCTTGGTTAATAAGCTCTTTATATGAAACTTCAAGCTGCTTATTTTCTTTCATAATCCCATGGCACTTCACTCCTGTAGATGTGCAGCCAACGCTTTTGATCTTCTTTCATAAGGCTCTCATCTGAATGGTGTGTCGAAAACCACACTTGGGCTTTTGGTGCTCTAAGTCCAGTGTAAGACCTTGGGCTGTTTTTAACCTTGCCTAGTCCTAGATGAAGCACTCTGATGGCATTTGTGTGTGTGTATTTTCCTATGTGATAATAGTATTAGATGCAGATGATCAATATTTTTTTCTATAGCCTACGATGTCACCAGTATGCTGATGTGTTGCCTCTGTTTCAGCAGAGGACAGCTCCTAAGAAATAGTAAATATTTCAGTTTCACTAGAGAGATATATGTACAGCAGTGCCACTCGGCCTTTATCCTGCACTTCAATATTCTCCAAAAACGATTCCAAAGAATTTTAACCACGAAGACAACACTTTTGCCTGAGTTTCTGTGACCATCTCTTGGTTATAGTTTTTAGGCTATCATTTTTGGCACTGCTGTAAAAAATGTGTTTTCATTACTCAACTTTGTTTTACAAACCATTCCAGTCCGAGAGCCTTTTCTGTAATTATGCATTCTATAATCTACCCATGTGGAAATTAAGGCTGGTGCTTTCCTACCTCTCATTTAGGTTGTGGACACAATAGAATTTTGGTGAGAAGATTTTAAGATTTCATGTTTGAAAGGGCATTGGGGAAGTAAGTTGCTTTCTGAACTATGCCTGAATTCAGCAAACAGAATTTGCTTTAACTCCTGTACTTCTCTCTTGTTTGAGAATGCAGTTATTTTTCTTCTAAGGTAACGAGGCTTTTCATGCAGAAAAGCACTGTCGCTATGGTGGCAAACAGCTAAATTACTGACAAAATTTTAGTTTCTAACTAGAAATGGCAGATATAGGGAAGTTAAAACTAAAAAGACTGCAGATAATACATATACGTTTTAGAGCAAAATCTCCTTTTAGGATCAACAGATTCGTTCCATGTGACTGTTTTGTAACTCAGTGGGGGGAAGGAACAGGATGTGGGTTTTTAAGACATTTGATCCTGTCATCTCTCTTTACCATTTTATGTCTTAAAGCACATGTGTCTTTTCTACCACCTCTTTTTGAAAGTGAGATGGTTTCTTTGTGCTTGTGCTGCTTCAGCTAGCTCTTCCTTCCCTTTTTCCCAATTTCCCTAATATTAGCCATACCGTTGTTTTCACCTATTAAATTTGAAATGTGCTTGTGTTGTAACTCAAGAACTAAAAAAAGATCTGTATAAAGTTTAGACATCATCATCTCCCAGGGATTTTAGCTGTTGCTATAGAAGCCTACACTCCCTTTTGAGAGACCTTTCCAGGTCTCTCAAAGAAGTAGATACTGGGGAAAGTTGTCATGGAAATATGCAGCAGAAAGAGAATGGAAACCTCCGTTTGCTAAATGGCACAAAGGCTTTGCTGGTTTAGTGAAGAGCCTTCGTATCTAGAGATCTTATCCTACAGAGTCTGTATTACATTCCAGTGGGCCCCAACACTATATATTAGGGCCTAAAGGAACATACTATTGAACATTCATATCTCTAGGTCACTAAAGGTACCTCCTCAATAAGATGGCTTCGGCTTTATCCACGTTTATGTGTACTCACTGCCTTGCAGGCTCAGAACGAAGCAGTACACGCTCTTCTTTGTGGTGGAGGCAGGGCCCTCTCCTGTGGCTGTGCTGCCTGGTGGGCTCATCAGTTCCAGGGCATGGCCCTGTGGGGCAGGGGACAGTATTGGCCACTGCTGCCAGCGTTTCTCTGCCTGAAACAACCTTAGTGGTGGTATAGTCAGATCTTACTCCATAGATTCCTTGCCCACTTACTCCACCACTAGACTTGGCTCCTTGGTTTGAAGCTTTTCATGTCCTTCTTACTAAAGCCTTTTGATATCTAATAGATGTGATTATGAGTGAGCTGCCTTTAAATATCTATTACGGGGTGTCACCATGGTAACAGCTGTAAGAGCGTTTCTTGCTGGTAGAAGATTTGCAGCTCTATGAGTTGCTATAGGACAGAATGCTTAGGCTGCTGTACTCGCACGTTGAATGAGATCACACACATTATCAAAGAGGAAAAATTATGTATTTCTAATTTTTAATAACATGAATTTTAATGGCACTGAAAGGAGTAAGACAAGTGATTTTGGACCTTCTAGAGCAACTTTCTTGCTCTCCTCAATTCCCCAATCTCCCTCATGCTGTCTCCTTATCACCTCAGAAGATTTGTTTTGCTTGTATTTGATTTTCTTTCCAATAAACTGCCCACAAAGTTCATAACAGACTTCTTCCCTTTGGCCCAATAACATGGTATCTTGCTTTTTGTGAGTATCTACTGAATATTTAAAAGTATCATTTGCTTTTATATAAACCTGGTAAGCTGAGGCCCTGCCTATTCCTGCACGTATTCCTCTCTCCATCTTTTGGACCTGCTGCTTTTGGCCATTAAAGGTAAGCGAAGCTTCCATTTGTACAACAGACGAATTCTTTAGCTAGTTGTTGTAAGAAAATCAGAGGCTGATTTATGTGCCTTAAAGACAGGAGCAATTTGCATTTATTTTCTGGATTTGTGTGTGGGGATAACAGTCCTGACAAAGCTGGAGCAAGTGGTACCTATATGACAGAAAGAGCTCTATCCATCTGGAGGAGTAAATAGTGCTGCTGAAGCACAGGTATTTTTTCTAATTTGCC